CGCTTCGAATCCGCCCTGAAGCGGTCCATCGCGGAGCTGGCCGGGCCGCCGGCCACCGAGGCAGCGTGGATCGGACGCGTACTTCCATTTGCTTAAACCACCAAACCCAGTAAATATCGCCTCCAAGAAAGAAAGACGAGCCAATAGGCACAGAAGATGTTTTTTCTATTTTCCCCTGTTGGTTTTAAAGGGAATCGATTTCACTGCTGGAAACATGATTGTGTTTCCCAGGGGTCTTAAGCAAATGGACGCTTAGGGGAGGCCTAGGGAATGAGAATCTAGGTCCCCCAGCTAGGTGCCCTTGGTCACCAACTTTCATCGGGGGAGGGTTCAACCCTACTAAAATAGACTATAAAGCAAAGTTGGTACCCGTATTCTAACCTCTCTGCTGGAGGACCTAGAAACTGGAATGAGCCCAAGAATTTCGGTAAAGGAAACCATGGGGGATGGTTGGTTTTTCAACACCTCACTGAATTTCTCGAATATCGCGGCGAGAAGGAATGAGAATTGGAATCCCAAGAAGCCCTGACAAGGAAACCAACTCGGGGATGGTGTATAGGAGTCGTTCCATTTCTCATTCCGTGCTCCTATTGCACCGGCAAGTAATGTTCACCTCAAATTCAGAAGCCCCTGGTTGATTAAGATCCGGGGTTGTGCCTTTAGTGGTTGGATTCAGACCACCTTTGGAGGGGGCAACCGCCTAAGAATCGGACACATTTTATTAGTCTGGGGTCGCCTGGCCTGAGTCACAACCAAAGCAAATGGGTAATAGGGACAATGCCCTTGCCATGGGTTTGTAATTCAGCCTTTTCAATTCTTAACGCACGGTTCTGAATTGAGCATTCTACTACCTGGTTTTGATTCTGCCTCATATTCCTGAGGTTTCTTAAAGCATGGTTCTGGGGATCGACCAAATTGTGATAGGGTTTTGGCTTTTTGACTCGACCGGTCCGAACGCCGACCCTTTCAAGAGCCTGAGGGAAACCCATGTTTACCATTTTTTGGTCAAGGTTCCAACAGGTGAACCTTGAATTCCAGGTTCGAAAAAGCTTTGTGAGGGTTTGAGGGGTGCTTAATGGGGAACACTCCCTTTGTTAGTATGTAGCCTCTAGCTTTCTGCAGTGGATTCCACCCGCCCTTTTTTTTTCTTTTACTGGGGTTCGGTCCCCAAGTCTGTTTTCTTCGAGTCGCTGGGCTTGGGAGAGAGCGCCGGGCCGGAGGTCTGTTTGGGGGTGTTAAAAGAAAGCCAACCAGATTCCGCGGTTTGGACATATCCACATGGAGCCCAGATGGAAAGATGGCGGATCCTGTGTTGGGGGGGTTTCCATCATGAAACCTGCTCCCAATATTTTGGCGAAACGGCGAGGGTGCAGCCGACAGGTGTGCATCTCTATTTGTTTGCTTCGACGAGACACTTCTTAGACTTATCACTCCCTCGCCATATATGTTGTTCATTGTTGGGTCTGCTTTTATATGACCTCCCCCCGTCCGGAACAGTGGGACAAGGGGGGTTGGATTGGACTTCGACTTGGCACCTAGTGTTGCCAATTCCACAATTAGTATTGCCAAGACGCAGTCTCAGCATTGCCAAGACCCTGCTCTCAGTGTCCCAGTACTCAATTTAATGATGCCAAATCTACATTGAGTATAGCCAAGACTCAATCTCAGATGCCCAGATCTCAGACAAACTGCCCTTTGAAAAATTGAAAGTGAGTACTTTAAGGCTTTGATCCAGCTTGACATCACAGCGGGCTTCAAAACGGGGAGACGAAAAGCGGGGCAGGGGCTCTTGTGGGGTATCCCCTGTTTCGCCTTGTTTAGTTTTTATAGGCAGATTCTCAGTTGTTCAGTGGCACCCTTTTTCCCCCTTTTTTGTGGGTGGCTGCCCCACTAAGAATGGTCTTCCCCGAAAAGGGTTCCCTTTTTGTTCCAGGGTCACTGAACAACGGAGGATTTATTGAGAATTTGATGGACCTTCAAAAACAGGAAACCCTACATCTTTAATACACCACCCCTTTAAAGCGAAAGGACAAGACTTTGATCTGGTAGGTTTTTTTTGTAGCCTGGGTATTCTTCCCGCGAAAACAACACAACGTTCAATTAAATCGATCCTCGAATGCAAGATTCGGAATTCGGAACACATACTTTGAAAGCGACCATGGATAGACAAGCGGGTCCCATATGGTAGGGCACCGAACAGACAAGCTTTCTAGACGTTGATGCCAACCGTGTTTTTCACTTCATTTAGAACCCCACCCAAAGGCAATGATTCGAAGGTGTCCTGACAAGAGTGGGGTGGAAGTAGAACAGCAGAGGTTAGCCCTTTTTTGACTTACCGTCCTTTGGTTGCCCTCGGTATCTGGAAATGGGACTTTGCCGCGGTTCAGGGCTGGCCTTCCTTCTTTCCGGCCAGTCGTGCCTCGTGAGTCATGGATGGTATGCGACTGGATGAAGCTTGCTCTCTTGGCCTAGATAAAAAAGAAAGAAAGAGGACAAACATCATGGTGTCATGCGAAGGAAGTCTGGATATTTTTTGAGAAAAAGAGCATCGGTAAGAGTGCACCATTCCCGATTTGAACATCTTGGGAGACTTTCTGAAAACCTACCAGAGGCTGAGCTCTCAAGCTGTGCAACCGCAAACTCCCGCAAACTCGGCTCGCTCGCGCGCAGGCCGCGGTGACTCTAACCTTTGGATGCGCAGTTGGAGCGCGGCTCCTTTCCCGGGCACTTCGGGAAATCTTGGATCTTTGCTTCAAGGCGCACTTTGGGAGCCGACTCGAAACCCGAATCGGAATCAGAATGTGTTCTCCTTTGATTGCTATTGTCACTACACAAGACGGCAACCGCAACTTTGAACGTTTGAGACACATGTTGTTTTTGTTCATGTCTCCTAGTTTGGAACAGCTCTCAGGAAACCCTTAGTTGGGGATTTGGCTGGTTCTTGTCTAGATGGTAAATTGGAGGGAAGCTGAGCTTCGAATGGTAAAAGAGCGGACGATGGAAAGCGATAGGCGCATTCCATGACGTTGCGTCAGAGTCTGAGAGAATGACCATCTCATTTATGAAAAAGGAGCTTGACGTTCGGGGAATCGGTCCTGGTTTGGGCCAAAAAAAATACAGGGCCGGGCCCCGAACGTCAGGCTCCATGTAACTTGGTGGCTCCCATCCATGCCCTTAGCTTTTTAGCCTTTTAGTGTTGAGTGGTAGTTTCCATTTCAACCACTAGAAGTTAAACTCTTAGCGGGGAATCTGAGGGCAGCCCAGGTACAAGTTTTTTTTGTTCACCACTGTTCCTTTTCAAGGTGTGGGGGGGTTCTGTCAGGCTCCATGTAAGGCCGGGAGGTACCACATCCCAATGACATGTCCCGATTTCCGTATCGCAAGAGCCCTGGACCTTGAGGCCTTGACATGGTCGGCAAACGTTTTACATGTTTGCTTCTTTAACCGCATGTCCATGTTAACATGTTGCCTCATTTTGCATTCTTGACATGGCTTGGTGAAAGAAAAACCCGCACTGAACTGCTATTTGCTCTCTTATATATATATATATATATATGTATGTATATTGTTTTTGCTCCCGTTACGTCCACCGAGTTTTTTAGGGCGTTTGAGGGGTCTCTCTTACCGGCAGGTGGAGGTGCGGGGCCAGGAGCCGAGTCACTCGGCCCAGCTGCCATTTTTCTCCGGGGGGTCAGTCACTCGTCCCCCAGTCGGTGCCCTTTCTTTTTCACCGCTTCTTTTTTTGGGGGCAGGGAGGGCTCCCCTCACCAAAATAGACTACAGAAAAAAGTTGGTACCCTTATTTTAACCTGGAGGACCTAGTTGACCTTGGTGTTGGCCTGACCGAACTAAAAAGCAACTCAGGTATCCCCAAATTGGTGGTTTGGATTGGTGGTTTGGGGATTTGAACCCCTGGTTCTCCTTAGCCAGCACCGGGCTCCAAGGTTGTGGTATTCTTGAATCTGAATATCCTTTCCACCAAAGAAGCTGAAAGCCTTTTTCAAGTGAGCCCACTGTGTGTCCACGTAATTTGAACGGGGTCAAACTCGTTGCGGTATCTGAGGAATGAAAGCTACAATCCCTATCTCTGTCAGTGTTAGTTGTATGCCATGACCTACCGCGCCTGCCTGTGTCTGCAGCTCTCTATGTATATGTATACATGTATGTACATATATATATATATATAGGTATGCACGATGGATGATACAATTATGTCCTAGTCAAATTGGACGTGTGTTGTGGGTGTGTGTGTGTGTTCGGTGCCCCCGCTCGCTGAGCATGAATGCCAAGAATGTGTTGCCAGATGATATGAATCTTGACCTCGGCCAACGAGGTTCGTGACCGACAACAGTACAAGAAACTGGCAGGGGACCAATAAAGAATCCGCAACATCGAGAGCGATCACTGCCAATGGATCGCCAAAACGATAATGTAGTCCGTTGCTCATGATCCTATTTGGCCCTGTTCATGTTTAAGGCGCTCCAAACAAACCCTTAACCTGTTGGAACCTCTTGGAGTCCTTGCAACCTCAAGGAACCTCGTGGTGCCTTTGGTGAAGTTTCTCGTGTAGCCATCAAGTGTACAAGATATGAGCTTGAAGGGTCCCTACAAACTCCCATTCCCAAGTTTTCGGAACGCCGGTTCTCAATTTTCCCTGAGCAACCTTCTTTGAACGTGGCCGGTCTTCCTTTCCGTTCAAATCAAAGACGGCCAGTGTCCCAAGCTTTTTTACCCTTGTCCTACGGTTTTCTCAACTTGAAACCCTTGTCCTAGGTTTGTCTTATTTTTTGGTTGGGCCCGTTTTTTCCTGTTCCCTTCCCATCAAACACGCTCGGTTTCCCAACAAGGTCTTACTTTTGTTCTAGGTTTGAGCCTCAACCTTTTTGTGTGGCCAGTGTTCCTGTTTCCTTCAAGTCCATCACGCTCAGTGTCCCAAAAGTTTTTCCCTTGTCCTGGGTTTGCCTCAACTTGAAAGTGGCCGGTGTGTCCTTTTCCATCCACAATGAAAGCACGCTTAACGGGCGCCTTCCCCAAACGTTGGATCGAGGTGAGTCAGAATCAAAACCCGGGTAAATGAAGGTTAGTAAGGGGCAATCCCAGCCATAAATGGTTGCGGATATCCGCCTTTTCAATTCCCCACATGGTTCTGGGTTCATCATTTTTGTACCAGGTTTCGATAAATCCATCCACAATTAAAGCACGTTTAACGGGCGCCTTCCCCAAACGTTGGATCGAGGTGAGTCAGAATCAAAACCCGCGTAAATGAAGGTTAGTAAGGGGCAATCCCAGCCATAAATGGTTGCGGATATCCGCCTTTTCAATTCCCCACATGGTTCTGGGTTCATCATTTTTGTACCAGGTTTCGATAAATCCATCCACAATTAAAGCACGTTTAACGGGCGCCTTCCCCAAACGTTGGATCGAGGTGAGTCAGAATCAAAACCCGGGTAAATGAAGGTTAGTAAGGGGCAATCCCAGCCATAAATGGTTGCGGATATCCGCCTTTTCAATTCCCCACATGGTTCTGGGTTCATCATTTTTGTACCAGGTTTCGATAACTCCACAACAATTACAGCACGTTTAACGGGCGCCTTCCCCAAACGTTGGATCGAGGTGAGTCAGAATCAAAACCCGGGTAAATGAAGGTTAGTAAGGGGCAATCCCAGCCATAAATGGTTGCGGATATCCGCCTTTTCAATTCCCCAATGGTTCTGGGTTCATCATTTTTGTACCAGGTTTCGATAAATCCACAACAATTACAGCACGTTTAACGGGCGCCTTCCCCAAACGTTGGATCGAGGTGAGTCAGAATCAAAACCCGGGTAAATGAAGGTTAGTAAGGGGCAATCCCAGCCATAAATGGTTGCGGATATCCGCCTTTTCAATTCCCCACATGGTTCTGGGTTCATCATTTTTGTACCAGGTTTCGATAAATCCACAACAATTACAGCACGTTTAACGGGCGCCTTCCCCAAACGTTGGATCGAGGTGAGTCAGAATCAAAACCCGGGTAAATGAAGGTTAGTAAGGGGCAATCCCAGCCATAAATGGTTGCGGATATCCGCCTTTTCAATTCCCCACATGGTTCTGGGTTCATCATTTTTGTACCAGGTTTCGTTTGTAATCCAGGCAGCACGTTTAACGGCGCCTTCCCCAAAACGTTGGATCGAGGTGAGTCAAATCAAACCCGGTAAATGAATAGTAAGGGGCAATCCCAGCCATAAATGGTTGCGGATATCCGCCTTTTCAATTCCCCACATGGTTCTGGGTTCATCATTTTTGTACCAGGCTTTCGATAAATCCACAACAATTACAGCACGTTTAACGGGCGCCTTCCCCAAATGTTGGATCGAGGTGAGTCAGAATCAAAACCCGGGTAAATGAAGGTTAGTAAGGGGCAATCCCAGCCATAAATGGTTGCGGATATCGCCTTTTCAATTCCCCACATGGTTCTGGGTTCATCATTTTTGTACCAGGTTTCGATAACTCCACAACAATTACAGCACGTTTTACGGGCGCCTTCCCCAAACGTTGGATCGAGGTGAGTCAGAATCAAAACCCGGGTAAATGAAGGTTAGTAAGGGGCAATCCCAGCCATAAATGGTTGCGGATATCCGCCTTTTCAATTCCCCACATGGTTCTGGGTTCATCATTTTTGTACCAGGTTTCGATAACTCCACAACAATTACAGCACGTTTTACGGGCGCCTTCCCCAAACGTTGGATCGAGGTGAGTCAGAATCAAAACCCGGGTAAATGAAGGTTAGTAAGGGGCAATCCACCACCAAAAATGGTTGCGGAATATCCGCCTTTTCCAATTCCCCACAATGTCTGGTTCATCATTTTTGTACCAGGTTTCGATAACTCCACAACAATTACAGCACGTTTAACGGGCGCCTTCCCCAAACGTTGGATCGAGGTGAGTCAGAATCAAAACCCGGGTAAATGAAGGTTAGTAAGGGGCAATCCCAGCCATAAATGGTTGCGGATATCCGCCTTTTCAATTCCCAGAATGGTTCTGGGTTCATCATTTTTGTACCAGGTTTCGATAAATCCACAACAATTACAGCACGTTTAACGGGCGCCTTCCCCAAACGTTGGATCGAGGTGAGTCAGAATCAAAACCCGGGTAAATGAAGGTTAGTAAGGGGCAAATTCCCAGCCATAAAATGTTGCGGATATCGCCTTTTCCAATTCCCCAATGGTCTGGGTTCATCAATTTTTGTACCAAGGTTTCGATAAATCCACAACAATTACAGCACGTTTAACGGGCGCCTTCCCCAAACGTTGGATCGAGGTGAGTCAGAATCAAAACCCGGGTAAATGAAGGTTAGTAAGGGGCAATCCCAGCCAAAATGTTGCGGATATCCGCCTTTTCAATTCCCCACATGGTTCTGGGTTCATCATTTTTGTACCAGTTTTCGATAAATCCACAACAATTACAGCACGTTTAACGGGCGCCTTCCCAAACGTTGGATCGAGGTGAGTCAGAATCAAAACCCGGGTAAATGAAGGTTAGTAAGGGCAATCCCAGCCATAAATGGTTGCGGATATCCGCCTTTTCAATTCCCCACATGGTTCTGGGTTCATCATTTTTGTACCAGGTTTCGATAACTCCACAACAATTACAGCACGTTTAACGGGCGCCTTCCCCAAACGTTGGATCGAGGTGAGTCAGAATCAAAACCCGGGTAAATGAAGGTTAGTAAGGGGCAATCCCAGCCATAAATGGTTGCGGATATCCGCCTTTTCAATTCCCCACATGGTTCTGGGTTCATCATTTGTGTACCAGGTTTCGATAAATCCAGAACAATTACAGCCTTTTCAATTCCCCACATGGTTCTGGGTTCATCATTTTTGTACCAGGTTTCGATAAATCCACAACAATTACAGCACGTTTAACGGGCGCCTTCCCCAAATGTTGGATCGAGGTGAGTCAGAATCAAAACCCGGGTAAATGAAGGTTAGTAAGGGGCAATCCCAGCCATAAATGGTTGCGGATATCTGCCTTTTCAATTCCCCACATGGTTCTGGGTTCATCATTTTTGTACCAGGTTTCGATAACTCCACAACAATTACAGCACGTTTTACGGGCGCCTTCCCCAAACGTTGGATCGAGGTGAGTCAGAATCAAAACCCGGGTAAATGAAGGTTAGTAAGGGGCAATCCCAGCCATAAATGGTTGCGGATATCCGCCTTTTCAATTCCCCACATGGTTCTGGGTTCATCATTTTTGTACCAGGTTTCGATAAATCCACAACAATTACAGCACGTTTAACGGGCGCCTTCCCCAAACGTTGGATCGAGGTGAGTCAGAATCAAAACCCGGGTAAATGAAGGTTAGTAAGGGGCAATCCCAGCCATAAATGGTTGCGGATATCCGCCTTTTCAATTCCCCACATGGTTCTGGGTGTCATCATTTTTGTACCAGGCTTCGATAAATCCACAACAATTACAGCACGTTTAACGGGCGCCTTCCCCAAATGTTGGATCGAGGTGAGTCAGAATCAAAACCCGGGTAAATGAAGGTTAGTAAGGGGCAATCCCAGCCATAAATGGTTGCGGATATCCGCCTTTTCAATTCCACACATGGTTCTGGGTTCATCATTTTTGTACCAGGTTTCGATCAATCCACAACAATTACAGCACGTTTAACGGGCGCCTTCCCCAAACGTTGGATCGAGGTGAGTCAAAATCAAAACCCGGGTAAATGAAGGTTAGTAAGGGGCAATCCCAGCCATAAATGGTTGCGGATATCCGCCTTTTCAATTCCCCACATGGTTCTGGGTTCATCATTTTTGTACCAGGTTTCGATAAATCCACAACAATTACAGCACGTTTACGGGCGCCTTCCCCAAACGTTGGATCGAGGTGAGTCAGAATCAAAACCCGGGTAAATGAAGGTTAGTAAGGGGCAATCCCAGCCATAAATGGTTGCGGATATCCGCCTTTTCAATTCCCCACATGGTTCTGGGTTCATCATTTTTGTACCAGGTTTCGATAAATCCACAACAATTACAGCACGTTTAACGGGCGCCTTCCCCAAATGTTGGATCGAGGTGAGTCAGAATCAAAACCCGGGTAAATGAAGGTTAGTAAGGGGCAATCCCAGCCATAAATGGTTGCGGATATCCGCCTTTTCAATTCCACACATGGTTCTGGGTTCATCATTTTTGTACCAGGTTTCGATCAATCCACAACAATTACAGCATGTTTAACGGGCGCCTTCCCCAAACGTTGGAAGGTGAGAATGTGTGTCAGCGCCTGAACTCCCTGGACGTCTTCGCGGCCTCCACGGTGGTGAGTCGCAACCTGGAGGAGGAGGGGGTCCAGCCAGGCACCGTCACAGTGGTGCGCCTCGCAGCGATCAGCGATCAGCGATCGGTTTCGTTTTTTTTTTTTTTTTTTTTGGGGGGGGGGGGGTCGATCGGTTGTTGTTTTTTGTTTTTTGTTTGGGGGGGGGGGGTTCTGGTTGAAGTCCAGGTGGAAGTCTAGGTGGTTTTGTTTGAGCCACGTCCTCGCCCAAGATGAAGGCTAAGGCATGCAACTTGGGAAGCTGATGGAGGTGGCCCCAGTTCTTGACCTCCGAAATTTCTTCCGTGGACTTCAGCCACCTTTTGGGTTTGGAGCCCAATTTCTTCATGTGAGCCGTTCGCTGTTCGCCGTTCCGAGACAAACCCCGGAAGACGCCCCCGCCTGAACAAAACACTGAGGGGAACTGAGAAACCCACAGAGAAGTCCATGCCCACCAAACATCTTTCGGTCTGTGCACCATTCTAAGCTGCACCAGTTTGGATGAAACCTATTGCAAATCGATTCGCGTGGAAATGGTGTTTTCTGTACATCCCTGAGTTTGGCAAGACGGCATTTCTGGGGTAGACTTAGGATACATTTTACAGTTTACCAGGGACTCAAAGTGAAGCAACCAATAAAATACACATTCTACAACTGGGCCTAACTCTAATCATGTTTTCGATGTGGCTTCCCCAAACCTTCCAAACACAGGATTAAAAAACTGGGCTGTTGGTGGAGAACAAAGCCGTGCAACTTGACCCGTTTAGGCGTCGAGATTCTGTAGGTGGGTAAAATGGGCTTGTGATGCTGAGGTTCTAGGTCTTTGTCGACCTCCACATTCAATATCATATTCTCATAAGGATGTTCACACCTTAGACAGGATCCTGAGTGGCCAAAAAAAGTCCAAACCTTCTGTTTACCACTAAAATGGTCCCATGAAGACGTTGGGGTTTTGTCTCGGTCAATTGGAGTTGTGGAACACTCATGGTGGCCATTCCAATCTGTTCTAAGTCTAAGGCCCAGTGATGAGCCAAAGATCCTCATTTTTGAGGTCCCCACTAGGGAGCCTTAAGTGAACAGGCAATTCGGAGGCTCAAGGGGAAGCAAGGAAAACCAACTTTTGAAGGCTGAAAGGTATCAAATTGAGTATTTGGGTATGTATTGAAGTTGTTTCGGCGGAAACCACAGGAACACGTCCTCAAATACCCACTGAGGTGAATGTTTGGTGCCCCGTTGAGAATAGTGATTCACGGTTTGCGCCTTTTTCAGGGTGCGACTCGGAACGTCAGGACTAGCTGAATCATTGACTTGTTCGAGGTGTATGTGTAGTGATTGGGCTGGTTTTCCATCAGCTGATATCCCCCGCTTAAAAGAGTGCCGCCTTGCAAAAGAGTTTTGCGAAATCGATAGCAGCCCCGGATATCTCTAAACCCCAGTTTTATTAATAAGGGGGAGTTGTCCCTGGTTTAGTGGGGGTTCACTGAAGCACTAAAGGGGCACCCCCCCTATTTGTAGGATGGGTTTATTCATGGTTGTTGTTGGGAAACATTTTACATTTTTGCTTATTGTGGTTTAGAGGGAAATGCCCACTTAACTGCTAAAACATATGTTGTTGCTCCCCTTCCAACGTCAACCAAGTATTCATCTAGGGTCCACACTACAGGTGAGAGGTATAGATTCCGGTTGGTTCGCTGGAAGTCCTTGGGCTGGAAAGTCAAACTTTGCAGCCCCTTGGCATGCTGCTCAACCCGAAGACATGCTTGTTGCAGCCCCAAGCAACTCTTAAACAGTGTGTACCCATATAAATATACATATATATATATATGTGTATGTGTGTATATATATATATATAGTGAGGTATAGTCGCACATGTTTTTGTTCTTTCTATCGGCACTCTGAGGCGATGGGACACGGACCCAAATCCCATCGCCGCCAACCCGGGGAACCTGAACTCCGGAATCTCGCAGCCCTTTTTGCCGCCCTCGGCGGTGAATTTGGGTTAGTCATCGCTCGAGATATGTCATACTGCGGTGGTGGGCAGTTGAGAGGTCTAGGGGGCAGTAAGCCACCTAGAGATTCCAGAAGTGACCCCACCTTGTTCGACTTGATGTTAAGGGTTAGGAAGGCTGCCTGCGAAAGGAGGTATGTATCCTGGAAAACCTTGTTCTGCAAAAAAATATGCCAACTGGACAAGCTGGGGGGTATTTGGAATAGGTACATCACGTGTTTGGAGGCGAGTATTATTTTTTTTTGCGGGGGAAGCTTCAAGGTCTGCAACCATAGGTGTCCTCTTTGGTTGACTTGGTTTAAGAATAGAGGGCCCTGGTTTACCTGGTGGTTCCATCAACTACCAGGGAAACCCATCGATTTTCCAAAAAAGGACATGACTGCAACATTGCCTTGCGCACTTCTTTTGAAAATTCCCCGCCAAGGTGCGTTGTTTTTTCTTTCTCCAGACACTTCGCCCCAGAGTCACAGTCGGTGGTAAGCCGCAACTGGAAATCACATATTGTTTCTTAAGGAACGTTCGGGGAGATATTTTGTTGCACACTGGGAAAGCCTGTTTGTTTTTACTCTTCAGGAAAGTTCGGGGAGATACATGTGCACGCCATGTTGGGATGTGGATCGAGTTTGCTTTCTGCATTCTGGGGAGCCTCACCGCCACCTTTTGGGCTCGGGGGTCGAAGTCATCGACTCAGCCACTTGAAGCCACCAGTCCAGCCCATTCTGCGTGGACTTTGGGGTTCTCCCCAAAATCCACACGCATGGATTCTCCAGGCGCATCTTATGGCCTCGTCGCCTCAAAAAAGGCGCCCCGCTCGGGTGCAGAGGCAAAAGAAGAGGCATCAGGCCCAGGACAAAAAGCAAATGCCTAAATGCTTGACTGCTATTGGGTTGGATCTTGCGACTTTAACTTTTTGGGAAATAAAGGTGTTTTCCACTAAACCCCCAAAAAGTTAAACCTTTTGCAGGGGGGTCAAGAGCAAACAAGAATGAGACAGGCTCAAGTTCCCCCAAAGCATCGCGTCTTGGGAGTGAGCAAGGCCCGAAGGCTGGGGGGCAATGACAAGTGGCGTCTTTCCTCTTCATATTGTGGTGGCTCCCAGCCATCCGGTTCCTTAGCTTTTTAGCCTTTGAGTGTTTAGTAATTTCCATTTAAACCACCAAAAGTGTTCAACTTTTAGCTCTCCATGAGTGTTAGTTCCTTGTAATGCAGGTTTGGATTAGCTCAAAGGAAGTCCGGTGTGCCCGTTGCGCCCGCGTCCAAGAACCCAACCAGCCGCCCTTTTGCCGCCCACATTTGCTTGAGCCTCAACGGTACCAAACCCAAGTCCTGGGTCTGGGGCAAAGAATCCAAAGCAGCACACATAGCTCTGCACTTTTCACTCCCTGAGCATTTTGCCAAGGACAAGGCCACATGTTACTTCATGTCTCCATCAAATCTCCAACAGAAGGACCAGAAAAGACCCACGAGGCAGTGCATGTGACGTCGTTGCCAGTGTCAGAGCGTGCGCCTCACGAAGATGAGGTCACGCCATTGCGTTTGCCAAGTGGCAATCATTTTTTGCGCCTGCCCCCTCGGAGCAACAAAAGCTATCTTAAGTGCAATTTGGAAGTATGGCAATAGTAGGTGTTCCTAACGTACACTTGCACATGCAGGCAGGCATTGAACGGGACAGGCACTCCTTCCGTGCCGGATCCGCTCCTAGTACAACTGGCACAAAGCTGCCTCTATCGCATAAAGATAGCCCAGAGGCTCGTGTGCTCTATCACAACGGGCTTTTGTTCAGATTCGCGGATGTCTATGAACTATCGGGAATTCCACCAAACATGGTTGGTGGACAGATTTCCGATGTCCAGTCGCTCGGTGTAGCAAGTTCATAACATTGTTATGAAATTCACAAATGCCCGAGTGGGTCTCAAAAGGGAAGCCAAATGTGTCCTTTTGAGGTCACTTGGGTCCACATATATTATACTGGTTTCACTTTGTTTCCAATCATGTGACAGGTATTCTATATGGAATGCAGCTCATGCCAACCATTTATGGAGGCTGAAGGGAAGCATCGAGTTTTAGCGCAGACTGCTTGTAGCGTAGCCGTCACTGGCAGCAAAGCTGCCCTGCCTTGGAATGCGCTTTCCGCCTGGAAAATGGAGGGCCTTCTGCGCGAAAGCCTTTGTCAAATTGCCCAAAAGCCAAGCCTCATGGCCCCAGTGAGGCTTTAGTTCGGTAGGGCTTTCATTCGATGTTGCTTTGTGACGCCCCATTGAGGTCGACTCTCAGTGGGTGACAGTCGTTGGTGAGACACCATGTTGGTTTGTAACTTTGCATCCATAAAAAAAAAAAAATGCCACGCTTTTTTCGAATCGATCCGTTTCGCTTAACTCCCTTGAGTGCAGAGTGCAGACTGCCATCGACCTCGAGTGCGGCGGCGTTTCGGCTTGGCTCGAGTCTTTGCAAGTGCCGCTCCAAACTCCGAGGACCTGTTGATAAGTCGATTGGGCGGTCGCCAGGGATGACCCACATGGCCATGGTTCAAAACCAATGGGATCCCAGGTTGGGATAGGTGCACCACCCGTTTGAGTCGATTTTAGTGGGGATTGGGGTGTTCACTGAGGGTAGGGGGTTTTGACCCATGGCCACATCTTCATGTCTCCCGGGGACTTGACTGACGCATAGGTGTCTTTTTTTGGTTTGGCTAGACATAGGCACTGGTTCAGGCGGCTTTTGGAGGCCATGCATGTTTCACAACTACGCCGTTTCGATTTCGTGGCGGGCATTTTGGAGGCATGACGTCCAAGATCTCACTATTCATTCGTTTGTCAGGGCTCGGCCTTCCTGCGTGAGCGTAGGCCCTTCCATTTTTGGGGCTGAAGTGTCCCTCAACCCCACTGATATGCGTCAACCACACTGCTACACGTATGCCGAAGTGCACTTAATGTACTACGATTCTCCTGACTTGTTGCAATTGTGCGCAGCCCTAAATCTGTTGAGACGCGTGTTGTCATGCAGGTGCGGCAGGCGTCCACTCAACGTGGTCTCGCGAAGTCGTCTTTGGGGGAGTGGTTGTGTTCTGCTTAGGCGTGGCAGAAGCCAGCAACAAATGACGAGGCCCCTTACAAAAAAAAAACAACGTACCCTTTCTCGCGTGGTTTTAAGGGAAGGACACAAGAAAAATACCATTGGGGCTCTCCTATTTTGACGCAAACCCAATTCAATGCGTGAGGGGCTTGCAAGCTGTGGGTGTCGAAAGCAACCGGTTGAACTCAAGTCAACCGTGTTGGAAGGCAGTCGCCAGCGTCATGGCGGCAAGGGGAGTGCGACCCTGGAAATGATGTTTACTCGTTCATGCCCTGTGGCTGGAAAACTAGACTGTTGGAACTGAGCTGGGGCACCTGCTCACCCAAAACATCCTCGCGAAATGGGACCTCCAGTGCAACCTGGTGTTCCTCTCTTTTTTTCGGCAGAGTGCCCATTCACGGCAAGTGGGTTGAAGCAGCCCCGCGAGGACCAAATGGCGGAGGAAGGCAAAGTCGAGGCGACCCGAGAGAGTGATTGAACTCACTCAGTTGTTCAGAGGCACCCTTTTTCCCTGTTTGTTTTTGGTGGCTGCCCCACTAAAAATGGTCCAAGCCCCAAAAAGGGTTCCAATTTGTTTTTTCCAGGGTTATTGAATTGAGCTCACCATCTGACCGAAAAGCTGCGAGACCCCGGTCTCAAGGCAACCCAAATGCCGACTTCCTCAGGGCCTTGGCTCCCGGGTCTAAGGCGAACATACTCCATTTGTTGAAGGCCGGAGTTACCCACAGAGAAGGTGGATATCTGGAGCAAGGCGTTTAAGTCTGCATCATACCCACGGAAAAGGATATCTGGAGCGAGTCAGCAAGTTATAGATACAACCAATGCATGTATTCATGTCATGGTGTGGCATGTCATGATATTTCACCATTCATGCCGCGTCGTGTTATTTCACGTAGTTCCTTTCCATGTCATATCATGGCATGTCATTTCATTTCATGTCGTGTCGCTTCAGTTCAATTCATTCCATCCATTTCATGTCCTTCATGTGTTTAGTGATATGTCGTATTTCTTTCCTCCGGTTCATTACTCAGTTGGGTGCGTCTTTGTTTGGATCCCCAAAATGGCTTCTTTTTTCTTTTCGGTTTCCCTTCAAAACCCACTAAAACCAAACGGGGGTATGCAGCACCAAAAAAAAACATTGAAGTTGCGTTCTGGTTGTGGTGGATTTGTCAAAACATGGTGGTTGTTGGGACGCATTTCACATCTTTGCATTCCTGTGGTTGAGTGGGAACAATCACTGAACCGCCAACTTTATTTTCTTGCTCCCCTTCCAACGTCAAAGAAAATGAGTAGCTCGTTTCTGGAGGCGAGGAAGCCTTGGGCTTGCGGACCCCGAAGTTGTTGTTTTGTTCTTTCTTTTTTTTCTTCTCGGAAGCCGCTAGCTCCCCCAGCTAGGTGCCAACTTTGACCGTTTCTTTTTTGGGGGAGGGTTCAACCTACTAAAATTGACATAAAAAGTTGGTCCCCTTGTTCCAACCTCTCTACTGGAGGACGGTTTGGTTTGGGCTCGGCGCTTCGCCAGTTTGAACAAGGCCGCGGAACGTCTTCCAATGTCCTGGAAGCTTCCATGAAAACGCCTGGAGGGAAACCGGGTTTTGTGGAAGGCCACTACCCCAATGAACCCTTTCAGGAAGAATGGTGCATATAGGAAGAGCCAATATGTACCCCTCTACCAGTCAAGTGGATGAACAACCCCTGGTTCACGAGGAATTTCATGGAATTCGTCAAAAGAAAGCGGAAATCATGCAACTCACTCGAACATGCAAGGCCGAGTGAACCTTTCTGAAGTAATTTCCTGGGGGAGGGAGACCGGGTGCGCGCAAGCACGCGCGGAGCGAGGAGAAGGACAACTTCGACGTTGGCCCTTTGCCGGGCGCCGATGAGAGAGATCGTGCAATGCCGAGAGGGAGCCCAGCCGAGTCCGAACCCATCTATGCTAGGTCCCCCAGGATCGTGCCCTTTCTCACCAACTTTTTTGGTTGGGAGGGTTCAACCCTACTAAAATAGACTACAGAAAAAAGCGTACGGGAGACCTAATACATATATATATATATATAATATCCTTATCTATCTGCCGGACTTTCCTTGAAAGTCCAGTAGCAGTTCAGAGGCAATGCTCCGAATCTTCGCCTGACTTGGTAAGTCGGTTACTTGATTGCTGGTGACGGATCCCGCGCGAGCCCCATGAATCAAAGTCTTGCTTTTTTTTCCGGTTGGATCCCCCAAATGGCGGGTGTCCTTTCCCTTGTGGCTGTCGGGTGGGATGTTTAGACTTTAGCGTTTTATTGAAATCAAGTTGGCTTTCCATCAAACCCGCAAAAAGTCGAACTTGTTGCAGAGGGGTGGGTCAACAGCAACCAAGTAACCATGGGTAGTGGCGAACCTGGGCTTGGTTTTCTTGTAACCATGGCCATCACCTGCTTCCTTGGGTGCTTTGGAAGCCCAAGTGGCACAAGAGTTGGCTTGGCCTTGCTGCGCCTTGCCGAGGTCAGTGCTGCAGAAATGTGTCAAGGACAACTCGCAGGTTCGGAGTCGCCAGAGTTTGAGGCTTGCCCATGCTCTTCGGAGGGTCCCAAATTGGGGACGCTTTCAGAAGCAAGGCTCTCAAAGTTGTCGCAGCTTGAGACATGACAAAGGTTTTTGGGGGGATCCCTTGATTCAGAGTTTGGAGTCATAAAATTTGCAGATTGTATGTCTGCAATATGAAAGCTGCATTTCACATGGCGCAAGCTAGTTTTGAGCGACCTCATTTGCCTGGACCGTGAAAAACCGTGCGACCTCATAAGGTCTGGTCAGTCCACGAGTTCACCAAACTGAGACAAGAGGTCCGCCAGAAAACATGTGACCTGCGACCTGCAATGTGGACGACCAATTGAACCACCCGGGTCAAATCCCCACTGATGTGTCATATATGCGTGTGTTGTCTCACAATCGGGGTGTGGCCTTCACATGTTGTTTCCGCATGCTATGTTGATCAGGTTTAAAGTAAACCATGGTTTGGAGGAATATGTCAAAGTGGTGCGTCCTTTTCCATGGGTTTGATCTCCTGCCACCAATCCAAGGGGATCGGGTTCCACCATGTTCCATCCGCTTCCGGATGGAGTGCAAAAGGAAGCCGACATGACGCCTTGCTTTCCCACCAAGAGTTATGGATTGGGATTGGCCAACACGAACCATTTTGAACAACCCAGCTTGGAGTGGTCTCAACTCTCAAAAGCCTACAGCTTCAAGCTTGGGTCTCCAGGGATATCCTCTGCATCAGATCAAATATATGTGTTTTATCGTGGGAAAAATCGGGGGGTACAGATCCTGCCCCTCTCCAACTGTTTTTCCCCCACCCTTCAAATACTTCTCCAAAAAAAACGGCATCATTGTGCTCCCACCAATTGGCCTGGAACCTGACAGGGGCTTTCGGGAAGCCCAGTTTCCTGGATGTTGTGTGTGTTTTTTAGAGGGACCTCCTGTCAAGTTCCATGTGAATTGGTGGGAGCCAATCCCGTTCTTCTAGATGAATCCACCCTTAGAGTTTACTCGGAAGTGGTTTCTCGTTCTTTCCGCGTTTTCTGTGGGGCACTTTGAAGGCAGTCTCAGCATGGGTTCCAATTTGGGGGAGCACCCAATGGATGGTTTTCCCAACACCCACCAGCAAGTTCTTGGAGCCAGCGCGCCGTCCGCGCGCGAGGTGCTCATCAACTGCCGCAACAACCGCAAGATCTTGGCGCGGGTGAAGGCCTTCGATCGCCACTCCAACATGGCCCGCCAGCCCAGATCCGTTCAGATCCGGACCCCAGCGGATGGGAAAACGAATGGGAAAACCCCATGGTGGGGCTATTTGAACCCCAATTTGGCACCTATTAGGTCTTTCAGGGAGGGTTCCCCTACTAAAATAGACTCAGAAAAAAGGGTACCCTTATTCTAAGCTCTCTATTGGAGGACCTAGCCTACGTCCTTTTGCCCGGTTTACAGACTTGGAAGTACATCACTTATCCTGAGACTTCGATTGATATATTATTTTGAAGCCAGTTCAAAGGTCATTGGCTTCGGACCAATCTTGGTGCGTGTCCTTGTGGTGATTTGTTTTTTTTGCGGAATGTTTTACAGCGGCGAACCTAGGCTTAAAGAGAGGGCACTCCAATTCGGGAAAGACAAGCAAAACAGGGGTATGTTTGGGTTTATTGGTGTCCCAGTTCAGACACGATGCCATGGGAACCTTTGGCAGGGGCCCGCCTGTCAGGTGCCACTTGGATGTTTTATTTTTGATGTGACCCATTTCCCACAATCTGCGTTGGTCATCGGTGCGAGAAAAGCAAGACGAACACACGACTCTCGGGCAGTTTCTCGGGAGTTGTTTCCTTTTTTTTGTGGTGGGTTGTCCAGCAAAATGTGTGTCAGTTGCTTTGGGATCGTTAAGTTTCTGTACTTTACACTTGTTAGAGCGCGACTCGGTGCTGTCCGGACTTGTTAGAACGCCAATCCTCTGAGTCAGATCTCTCGGATCCAGTGACCAGACCTGTGGACCGGGTGTGTGGCATACACCGCAGCGTATTCACCCGCCATGGACGTTGACTGTGGCGTCGGCTCCCAAAACGACGCGACTGCGCGAATGGGATGCGCCCTTTTGGTTCTGGATCCCTTCACGGAAGGTAGCCTGAGCGTATTCTGTGGTGGTCAAAACCGCTTTGGGATCCCATTTTGGGATTGGGGAAGTCACCACCCATTTTAGGTTACCTATTCTAGTGCTTGGATTGGTTGATGTTCACTGGGGGTACGATTTGGATTTTGACCCATGGCCATTTAACGTATTTAACACTTACATCAGCTAAGCTATGGCTAGAATATATGCCTATCTAAGTTAATGGAAGGATTTGGCTTAGTGTTCGATCCATGTCGGCACAAAACAAGCTTATCCTTATGGAGCTTAATGGAGAAAGTCATTTCAAGAGTGCTAACAACATGGGGGCTGGGGGGGAGGGAGGGGAGGGGGAGCCCAAATAAGCCCTAAACAAGGCCGTATTAAGGGCTTAAGAAGGGCTTAGTTGGGCTCCCCCTCCGTGCGAACAACCGAAACCGAACCTCGGTCGGATGTCTCCGAACCCCCGGGCCTGGAGTCAGGTCTTGGAGAACGTCCGTGAGATGTGGACGGAGCTGCCCCACGGGGGAAAGAAGAAGGCGAAGGCAGTGAACAAGGACCAGCCGGCCGAGCGCGTCTCCCCCCCCCCCCCCCCCGCGTTTTTGTGGTTTTTGTTTTGTTTTTTGTTGGTTTTGTGTTTTTCTTCTTTTTTCCTTTCGTTTAATTGTTGCGACCCATGGTGTTGGAGTGTCCCAATCAAAAGTCCAGCAAGCACATGGGTGCCTTTTTTGTTTGTTGCACGGGGTTTTTGGGCCCCGCTCGCATATGGTGTTTTGGGTTTGAGACCTCTCATTGCTCCTGTAGAATCTGCGGCGTCTTTTTGCGCACGGCCGCCAATAGCTTGCGCAAGGTGTACGCGCGATGCGCGGTCTTCAGAGGCTATGGGTAGCCCCAAGCTTTTGCGGTGGACGTTTTGAAGCCCAGCTCCTTTTGAAACCTAAATGGGGTTTAGTACACAAGGTCCAAACCACCTGAGTGAGTGTGGTTTGTTACCCTTTGGTTTGAGGCCTACGTTGAGGAGCTCCCTTGATTTCCTGAAGCAAACAAACTCGAGTCTAGTTGCCTTCTCATTCTGAGGGTGTTCAGAAAGTTGCAAGCGAAAGAGATAGGTGTGTGGGTTTCTGAATGGGCAAGCTTGGGCCAGGTTTTTCAGCAGGAATTGCTTTTGCTTCAACAGGATCGTTTCATCAGCAAGATGTTCCTCCGCGGGGACTCGGTGATCTTGGTGCTGCGAAACCCCAAGCCGGGGTGCCCGGCGTGAAACTTGCGCCACGCTCAGGTGTCCATCGCGTGCAAACCGACTGGATTGGTTATTTTGTTTGTTTGTTTGGTATCAAAAGGCGCGTTCAAGCCGACAGGATGTGTTTGTTTGGGCTATCAAAAGGGCCCGCTTGCCGGCAGCCGGCTCCCAACAACTGCGTTTTGGCCGTACTTGTGCGATTTTGGTTACATGGTTGAAGAAGGAGGCAAGTTCGGGGGTAGCAGTTGTTCGGGGGTTGTGATTGATGGTTTTAGCAAGTTGGGCGTCACCCAAGCCCGTGGAACACTGACACCCCAGGGTGCCTGAGTTGTAACAAGCTGCCCAGATGTTGCAGTCCATGGTGGAGAAGCATGCTAGAAGTCCAACTCTTGCACGAGCACGCCCAAGTTCTGGCATGTCCAAACTAACCAAGCAAGCCAGCAACCAGCCCGCCAACCAGCCAACCAACAAACCCAACCAGCCACCCAACCAACAAACAAGCCACCCAGCCACCCAACCAGCCGCCCAGCCAACCAACCACCCAAGCGGAAGCCCGATTCGTGATCAGACCACAGCCCTTCTCGGCCCCAAGGAGACGAGAGGAGAGGGCTGATCGGCGAGTAGCTTCCATGTCCATTCTTTTCAAGGATCCGAATCTTTCTAGAAAACCGCCTCAAGGCTGGGTTTTTGGGAGAAGAACCATGGCTGAAAAGAATGGAGCAGGAATCAACCCCTAGAACAGGCTTCAACCTTTCAACCTGAGGCGGGACCCGCCTCCAATGCCAGGAAAGCGCGACGGAAAGGGATTGCGCATGCAATCCCCAAGCGCAAGAAAGGGCATGCCGCGATCTTCCCCCCTAAGGCCTTGCCATGTCTGAAAACTCACTACGGGGGCGCCTTTTTGAGATGGGGGAACTGTGAAGTTTCCTTGGCATCCCGCTGGTGGCTGGATAGATCCGGCAGCTGAGGTAAAGAAGCATCAACTGGCAAGGCGAGGTCGCTTGTCGCTTCTTTCGAGTTGAGTCACTAGAGACACGTCGTTTTTGCCGCCCCTCCGATCGAGTTGTCCAAGCGCGGCTTATCTTAAATCGGGCCGGGCCGTTCTTTCTCGCCGGTTGGCAATGGCGGAAGCTTGGAATTCATGTCCGGCGATGTCGTGACTCTGACTCCTCTTTTTTTCACAGATCCCCACGGCGCAGAACGGGTCAAGAGTTTGGAGGTTTGGCCTAGGGTCCGGGGGTTCGGATCCCAATGCGTGCAGGTGAGAGCGGAGATATTGAGCGCGACCGAGAGGTGCAAGAGTGCGGCAAGCATGGGAAGGTTTGAGTCACAATCTTCCCAAGGTTTCAGTGGTAAGAAAAACCGTTGGGCCCATAGCCACACTGCAATGAAAAGCTTGTTGAGGGCATGATTTTGCGTTTCCTGTGCCATGGCATCAATCCGACGGCGAAGCTTTTTGCTGGTTGGGAGAGCGCGCCTTTGAAAGTTGCCAGCCCGGTGGGTTTGAATCCAAGTTTTGTGTTTAGACCCAAGACATATCTCATCGAACTGGAACTCGCGGCCCGTTTTGCAACTGGTTCGTGTTTTTGGACGGATTTTGGTCACCTCTCCATGTGGCCGGGCTCAGAAGGACGCGAAAAGAGATATGAGTCGCGGAAGAAACAAATCGGCGTGCTCGGAATCCAGGGGGTTGTTTTGGCCATGGGTTCCTTGCTTTTTTGTGGAGTTGGTACTCCTCTTTGGTTGGTTCAAAGGCGAGCCACAAGGAAAGCCGAACTGTTTCGAGGTTCCCTGAAAAGAGGACCTTCGTTTGAGGACCCGGGTTTGGGAGCCCGAGCATAGAGCATGGGGTTGAGCATGGCCGATGGATGCGGGCTCCAGAGCAGAGCCTTCCATCCCCATGCGATCGCCTTCAGTACATCGCGTTCTTACCGCCCGATGAGCAACTTATGCCAGTCTCGAGCGAAGCGAGTACTGTAAGACACCACAACATCATTTCTCGGACAAAAAAACGGCCCAGCAGTATCCGACACGAGAGATATCCTTTAGACCCAGCAAAGCTGGACGTAGCTGGCCGCGATGATTCGACCAGGCGCTTGCACTATGTCCAATCGGGCGGTCGAAAGGCTAGTTTGGGCATTGGTTTTGCATTATGGGCAACGCGCCTTGAAACCAACTTGGTAAGCTGCTGCTATTCTCAATTAACATACCTGGCGAGAAAGACTATCTTTGGTGAAGCATCACCTGCCCAGAGCTATTTTCACTCGATGCGTTTGCTGTTCTTTAGAGCAACTCAACCTGTAGTTACCTGGACTTTGAGGGAATGGATGGGACATGGAGTAGGCAGCCTTTGAAACGCCCCAATTCATGCGGGAAGCTTTGCCTCCCACCCTATCGCGGTGACTGTTCCATGCTGGGTTGTACCCGTTTGCATGCCGACTTTCTTTGAAGAATTGCTAAGTGTTCCCAGAGTGCGGGTATGTCTTTCAGCCTTATGGGCAGCATCTTCTGTCTGCAAATCAGGCCTCAGAGGAATCCTACACTTGGCACTTCTTTTGGTTGCTGGTTGGTTCGCGCAATGTACCTGGACCTCAAAATACCCCTAATAATGGGTTATAGCCCCAGCATTATGGAGTGCATCCCCTTTTTTACGGGTAGTTTGAGGGTTTAGGTGTCCTTTTCACCGTGTTCCTTGAATGAACGGCTCGCCGCTGAGACACCACGCACTCACTGGTTGCGGGGATCATTTCTTTGGATGGGCCCATTGGCTCTGATGTTACCGGAGCAAACCATGGGAGCACAGGAGCAAAGTGGTTTGGCCGGTTCCATTTGCTCGCTTTTGGATCAGAATATTGCCTAAGTTGGCTGGCCGCTTTTCAGCTTTTGTCGTTTTGAAAAAGCGTCATGTTCCTTTCTACCAGCCACACATCTTTGTGCAGCGGAAAAGAACCAAATTGAAACCATATCCTTTGCTGGTATTTGCATGGGAATCAAAAAACGTCAAGGGTTTCTGAACGGCGGCGCGAAGCGGATTTCGCAAACATCCGCAGGGACTCAGGTCCGACTCGGCAACTCGGCAACTCGGTTCGCCAATTAAGTTTACCATCACTTATTGGAGTAAGGAGGATGACATGGGTCACACTCACCAAACTACCAAGAGGAAGTGGGGGGAGGGACCAAAAGATGTCGTTTGCATGGTTCCCTTGAAAACTCAGCTGGCTGTGGGTCAAAAACAGGTACACTAAATGGAACCCTGGTAAATGGACCCCCAACCAAAAACAAAATGCGCTCCATATCCTGGTGGCTTGATTTTGACCACCCAACTCGCGACAGAAGGGCTGAACTTCGCGTCTCTTCGTCTCCAAAAACGCCAGGCACCTCGCTGACCAAGCAGAAGCAGAAGCAGCGGGCCGCGCCCAAGGTGGCCCCCGGCAAGCGCGCCGAGTCCGCTAGGCGATCGCCCGATCCAGACGTGGCGTTGGAGTCGTATGGGCGGTGTTTTTTTGCGGTAGTGGAGAATGTACCTAGGGCGTCCTGTAAAGGACACTACACGAAAGTGTTTGTCTTCTCCCATTTGATGTAATGAATGAATGTTGTTTCTTCAATTTCACTTGTAGGTCTTAAAGGGAATCGGTTTCACTGAAAAATCAAATGGAAGTACTCGTAGTACTGCCTGAGTAAGTTAGTGGACTTGAGTCACTTTTTGGATTTGGACCATGTTGCTGGTAAATGAGAACAGTTTGGACCTTTTCTTGCCAACCCACTCAGGAAGTGAGAGAGCCTGTCTCGTTTTTGGAGACCGCTTCCCCCTTTCTTCCATTTGCTTAAGATGTTTATTGTCCCCAGTTGGTTTTACAGGGAATCTATCACTACTGGACACATTTTTTCCCCAGGGGTCTTAAGCAAATGGAGGCCTTGGTTGGTTTTAATCGGAAGTCAAGAGGAAGCCAAGCCGTGCATTTTTGGGAGAACCCCTATGTTGAGACGGACCCAGAGGTACCAACAGCGTCATCTACTGAAAAGGGGATGACATGAGCCTTATTAACCAGGCTCCCGCCTGCTGCCGCCGACCCTCGGCGCATTAAGGGAAAAGTCACAAGGACCGGTCCTGAAACACGTCCGCAAACCCAGGGACCACTTATAAGATCCTCTACGACCACAAACAAGGATTAACGGAAAAGTCAGAAATATGGCAGCTAGTCCGTTAATTACCGCTTGGGCCGGCTTACGCCCAAGTCACTTCGAGTTGGCGCGGGAGCGCCCTGAAACTGGCCCTCCCGAAGTTGCCCTGGACCGGTCGCCGGCAGGGACCGGGACAGGCTGGTCCCAGTCTGGCGCAGTGTCCTGAAACACGGGTGCCAGTCCGGAAAGGTGTCTGGAGCGGACAGCGTGGCCGGGACCAGTCCCAGGACCGGTCCCAGGACCGGTCCCAGGCAAACCCCGGTCCTAGACTGGGACCAGGACTGGTCACCGGTCCTGCCGGAACCGGTCCTGGTTTTGGCTGTCTAGTAATCTGAAACAGCAGAACCAGGGTCCCAGGACCAGTCCCAGGACCGGTCCCAGGACCGGTCGCAGGACTGGTCCCAGATCCCGGGACCGGCCCCGGTCCTCCTAGAAATCCACTTTTCGTGCGTTCGGGCGTGTTTTGCAGGGACTATCATTGATTCCAATCACTTCCAGTTGCATCCCACGCCGGCCCCCTCTGCAGGAGGCTGGGACGGGAGGCAGAGGTCGGCGGATTTGCTAAACTAGCATCATAACTTTGGTTACTTGGCCGTGTTCAATGCAACTGAGGGACACAAATATTCGCTGTGGCAAAACCTGACGCTGCGGCACAACAAATGTTCGATTTCTGTGGAGAAGTGAGTGCTTTTCCAGGGAAGTAAACAGATTGGGTGTTGCGAATGGGCAAACGTGTAATACCTAGAGTGGATGTGTAATTAGCTCGCGAAACAAGACATTGGGTTACCTGGATTCAAGCTTGAGCCCCTTTTTGCTCGCCTCAGTTCCATTAACGTCACGCCCATGCAATTTGGGCTCCGAGAATTCCGCGCCGGGAAAGTGCGATTTGGACCCTCTCGCAAGTTGATCTGGGACCCAAAGCAGACCCAAAGCTGGACACCCGCAATAAGCTCGGTGGTTCCCAGCCATCCGGTTCCTTAGCTTAGAATTTTAGGGCTTAGTGGTTGGATTTCCGAATTTCGCCCACTTGAAGTGTTCAACTGTTTGCATCTGAAAACGGGCAGCCCAAGGATGTTCTCAGCGACTCTGCGGTTCTGAATGACAGGTTGACCGTGGCATAGCTGGATTTGTGTTCATTCATTCCCCCCAAACCAAAGGCACAACGGCCCCCATCTCCAATCATGGCTTGATTTTCCATGGAGCTGGTGAGTACCCATAGAAGGGAAACCAAACAGGAAGGGGTTTATCCCCACTTCTGTGATACAAGGAATCCCCTTTTTATATGGGGGGGTAGGCTTTGCCCTTTTGTTGTATCACAGAGGTGATTTTTCCCCCCAGCCCTGACCAAAGGACAGTCTGCAATTTAATTGTCCGGCAAGTTTTCTGATCAAACAGTTAATGTTTTGTGTTCCCCACGTACTTTTGTTCCCCAAGTTCAGGACAGTCTCCGTTCTTTTTGTGGTTCCTCTTAGTTTTGGGTCAAAAGCCTGGTTCCCCATTTTTTTTGCCAAGAACCTGGTTCCCCATAGTATCCAGTTTTTGCGAACAACAATCAAGACCGTCTCCATGTCTTGTGTGCTAGGTCCCCCAGTAGTGCCCTTTTACCCTTTTTTGGTTGGTAGGGTTCCCCTACTAAAACAGACTACAGAAAAAAGGGTACCCTTATTCTAACCATTTCTAACCTCTCTACTGGATAATCTAGTCTTATGTGTTTCCCCCATCCTTTGCGTCAAAAAGCGTCCCGTTGGAGAGGCCCACCCTCGAAGAGTTCCTCACCACCTGCGACTATGTGGGCGCCATCACCTTGTTGGAGTTCGAGCGGAAAGCCCGGGAGGACAGGCCAAGGCTGCTGATGTGGCTGGCATACAGCGGCTCGGAATGACACAAAACGTGTGATTGTTGTTCGTTGGTTGGTTGATTGGTTGGTTGGTTGGTTGGCTGGATGGTTGATTGATTGATTGGTTGGTTGGCTGGGTGGGTGGGTGGGTGGGTGGGTGGGTGGGTGGGTGGGTGGATGGGTAGGGGGGTGGGTGGGTGGTATGGTTGGTATGGCTGGTATGGTTGGTATGGTTGGTTTTGTTTGTTTTGTTTGTTCTGGTTGGTAGGGTTGGTATGATTGATATGCTTGTTTGTTTGTTTGTTTGCTTGCTTGTTGGTTGGTTTTTTTGCTTGCTTGCTTGCTTGCTTGCTTGCTTGCTTGCTTGTTTGCTTGTTTGCTTGTTTGTTTGTTTGTTTGTTCCCATCGACGCTCTGGAACCGCCCGACGTCCAGTGTGTTGAGATTAGATAGATTGGGAGAGTAGATAGCAAATATACATATCGACAGACATACGGTATGTTGATGGGAGAAATGGATTTTGATGCACCTAGCTTGCATGTTTTTAGGATCGTTGGATTGAACCGCTTCTGTCAGATCAACAACTGCTTCATGGCCAGCTAGACTGCAGGTTGTCAGGGTGGTTCTCTTGCAATGTTGGACAGCCACAATCAAAGGAAATTATTCAGGAGGTTCCACGGCACTAGTTCTCTGAAAGACTGACAAGAGAATATTAAGCAAGCCTAAAAACATGCGTGCGCTGTCAAAGCTGTGCAGCCCTTTCCAGCTTTCGGGGCTGTGGGATGGTCAAAAGTTAGCCTCCTCGCAAATGGCTGGTCGTTCGCGCGCACTTTTGGATATCAGTGTGCGTGACAGGGACAGAATTCGTGGAGGCGGAGCACTTTCGTACGGTCACGTGCAGATGTCGTGGCAGGCGCAGCGCTTTCGCTGCAGATTTCGTGCCCGGCGCGGCACTTTCGCAAGGTCGAGCGCAGATCGTTTTCACCTTTGCCGCAGCACTCTCGCACGGATGTTGCATGAGCCTGCAAGCGATGCTGAGGATGGCGGGGGGGGGGTTGCTTGACAGGCTTTGCCAAGGACAACCCGCTCCTTCCTGCAAACCTAGCGCGCGCAACGCAAGCTGTGTGCAAAACCAGCTCTGGGAACAGCTACCGCATGAACCAAGGGCCACTGCCCGGATTCGAGCCACAGCGGGCTCCACAAACTTGTCGCCTGCCCAAATAAACCTAACAGCAAATGCTTTTATGGGAAAGTGATCCCTGAGTAATCAGATCTCTCCATTTGGGAAATGCTCCTTTGACCCCTTTGGCCTGTGCTGACGGTGCTGGGCAGGGCAGAGCTGGCAGGAGAATGCGCTGCTGTTTTATAGTAAAAGATATGGCTGTGGGTCAAAATTAAAACCACCAGGGGACCGCGGGTTTTAGTCCATGGTTCCATTCGCCAGGGTTCCATTTTGGGGTTACCCTATTTTTGACCGTTGTGTTTCCATCATTCGGGGCTGTGAGCCCCTGCGCTGAATGGCCCTCCGCCTACCGCGTCACGGGTCAAGGCCATGAGCCGGCACGTCTCAGGCCACGGATTTTCGCCATTTGAGGTTACTTTCACAACGGCGACTACAAGAAGGCTTTGGATGCATACGACGACGCGATGAGAAAAGAAAACAACCCCAGCATTCACGTCTACAAAGCTTGCTGCCTCTACGTGCCCTATCTGCAATTGGAGCAAAGGCTGTAGCAGGAAAGGAGACGGTGGGCAGCAAGCTGCCGAGCAAAGAGCAACTGCTCAAGGCAGTTTGATTCAGCAGGGGCCCTGTAGCCAGTCGTGGCTTGCGCTGAACAGCCATTTTCAGGGAAACCAACTGGCAGGGATACATGGGGAACCAGGATGCGGGAGGATTCCCCCTAAATGCACCTTGACAAAGTTTGATATGGCTCCGTATCCCTGCTTGTGGGTTTGTCCAACATTTGGGTAGCCCGACGTTGGACACCTCCAAACTCCAAACTGCGGCTCACAGCTTCAGCCTGCCCAAGGCTTTGTGCCAGTACCAGGAGGCTGAGGAGGAGGCCAAAAAGGCCCGGAAGGATTTGGGAGGCTTCCAGTACGCGGACTTAATAAACCGACAGGTGAAAGAATGCCTAAACCCTCAAACAACCTCTAAAAAAGGGAATGTGCCCCATAATTTTGGCTATCACCCGTTTTTAAGGGTGTTTTGAGGGTCCAGGAACCTTGTATTCGGAAGTCGGGACACGCGTCCTCTGGATATTTTAGGGTTCCCCCAGATAAGCGTGCCTTCTCAAGGGTTGGCATGTCTGTTTGTCAGCCTTGGTGCGGGCTAGATACTTTTAGTCACCAGTTCAGAGGCATAGAGGCATCACCAGCATCAGAGGCATCACCAACATCAGCAGTGGCACAGGCATCACCAGTAGCCATGGATGCGGATTTGCACGTCGCACAGCGCCAACCAAAATAGACTCGGATTTTTTTCCGGGCCTTCTCCGGATTTTGCGGGCCTCTTCCGGGTCTTGCGGGCCTTCTCCGGGTTTGCGTTCTCTCCCAACCTCTGCATGCTCGCTGTTCTTTTCTAAAAAAGTATAAAGTTGAGAAGGCACTGTCCACTTGGGAAAAGCCTATGGCCATGGCCAAAAAATGAGGTACCTTACAATAAAAACGCACACCGGCCTTTTCCTCGGGGTATCGTGCCTTCTCCTGTTTTTTTGTTTGGGCGGTTCCTCCTCAGCCGGTTCTGCGTCGGCCTGATCGGGTCCCCTGTTTGATTTCTTGGCAATAGCTGGTTTTTGACCACAGGGAAAACAACAGGGTTCCATTTTTAGTCCCAGGGGCCCAGATTGCTTGTGAAACAGCGCCAAAAGAGAAAGAGTACTCAGTGCTTTGAACCCTCGTGTGGGGGGGGGGGGCAGGCTGGGAAAGCGATCAGCAAGTAATTTCATGTCAGGGTATAGAGCCCTGTACAACGGTTGCATTGAGAAGGCATGGTTTTTTGGAGAAGCCTCGGTCCAGACCCATGAATTTTTCCGGGTCCCTAAGGCCCTAAGGCAGGGGCAAGTGAGTCTCGCAGGCGCCAGACAGCTCATTGAAGACGCGAGTGCTCTTTCAAAGCGCCACTTGGCTCGATTTGAAGCCCACTGGCAGGGCCCGGATCGGATCAGATATGGAGCAACCTGGACCCTCAAAATACCCTTAAACACGGTTATGACCCCAAAGTTATGGGGTGGATTCCCTTTCTTAGAGGTAGTTTGAGGGTTTAGGAGCTCATTTCCTGGATTTCTGGGCGCAGCAGGATCGAACTCCTGCTTCTGCGTGTTTTGTTTGTTTTTCAGAGCAACTTTGGACCTTGGTTGCGGAACTGGGACCCCTTTCTGGGATGATATCCCTGTCCATGTTTGTTTCCGTTAGGCCAGGTTTATCATACCCGTGCGAGATGCGATTCACCTTTACTACGCATGGTATTCAATCACCGAAATCTCACTTCTGCTAGCTACCTGCATGTGCTCAGAATCTGTACCCGGGTGTCTGGATCCCAGCTTTCTTCTGAAAGGCTTCTCCCGGGGTTGAAGAGGACCAAAATCGAGTCGTCAGCTCCGCGTCTCGGGGGAAAAAAAAACATCGTGCGGTCGAGGCCCACAAGCGCAACGATGAGAGCGCCATGATGATTCACCACCAGGCCGGGTTTGTGTTTTGTTTTTTTTTGCAACCAACCTTCTTTTCAGGTAGCTCTGAGTTGGTGGTTTGGAGATTGATGGTTTGGGATTTGGAAATTCGAACCCTTGTTTCTTCTGGTAAATGGGAAACCATCCCAACCCACCACCACCAATCCAAAGCACCAAGTAGAGGGAAGCGGAACTCTGGTATGTGTCTCTTTTTGAGGGCTTCTTTTTCCAGTTCCCAAGGGTTAAAAGCCGATGCCCAAGAGGAATCGAAGGCCATAAGGTACCAAATTCACCAGCCGTAAATCCGGAGCCAATCCGAGCCTTAGCTCATTGCTTGGAGCCATTCGCAGCTATACTTTTGAACATGCTTGGCGTTCACCTTGAGGGGTAGAGCACGGGGGTCTGGTGAAACTGTACATGGGTGTCTCAACAGTTTTCTTCCGGTTTTCCTCTTAAACCAGCCCAAGAAAGGGCACCCACACAAAAAGACACATCGCAGAGACCGAGACCGTTTCCTCGGTTCAAATGATGCTCGGTCTCCCAATTTGTGGGCATCCCTGCTGAGAAGGCGCTCCGGGCACCGGTTGCCCACTGCTCACTTCGGGGCAAGTCTTTGCGTTCCAAAGTCCAGGGCCCGAAAACGGCCCTGAAAAGTAAGCCCAAGATGGTAGATGTCAATGCGGTCCATTTTCTTCACGACGAACGTCACGAAATGGGATTCTCTTGGCCTCTCACAGAAACTGATCCCAAAAAAAAAAATCCAACATGCCCCACGATGGGCGTTGTCTTTTTTTCACCTTGGTTTTACTTCAAAGAACACCTGCAAGATTGCAAAGCAGCCTTCCCCGTGTCAAGAAGCGTTCTTTTTTTTTTAAATCCGCAAACCAACTTATCTAAAATCAACTGCCTGGTCATTTGACGCCAGACGACGGGGCTAGGCGCTGTCGGACTCCAAAGAAGACCAACTGTGTCTGGCTGCCATCCAGTACCTCAGGCGGGTAGACCAACCAAACCGCAGTGCTCACTTGACCTCGAAAATGCTAGCGGCCACACTGTGGATGGACGAAATCCTGGACCGGTTAAGAACCCTGGAACGATGATTCCCTTGTAAATGCCAACAAACAATGGTGTTCATAGATTTTCAGTGGTGCGAACGGATTTCGCAACCATCCAGCGTAGGGGTCCAAGAGTGTCCCTCGCCCGCAGAGATACCCCATTGCCCCCCCCCCCCCCCGGCATGGTTTGGTGCGCCTTCAATCCCTTTCAGGCCAAGGTCTGCTCCATTTTTGGTGAAAGGGTAAAGGGAGGTTCTGAAAGTTCCGTTCGGAGGTTGATGCTGATCAAGCCAGCCATGTGAAGCTTAAGATTGAGGTTGTCTCTTGATTGGGCCTAAGCATGAAATCCACCCAGTATCAGGGGTTCTGTTGATGGTTCCTTCTTGGGAGACGCTTGGCAATTGCTTTTTCCGCCCTGGCCCCCCCTTGCTCTCCTCACGTTTCGATGCCAACATCTCTGGGAGTCGAAAGCTCACATCCAATCGGCAAATGGGTGTGGCTCCAAATTAAACGAGAGGCAAACCGCAGGTCTTGGTCCATGTTTCCACTTGCCAGGGTTGATTTTGGAATTCCGGCATTTTTTTGCGCCACAGATGTTTTTTCTTCGAAGTCTCAGGAGTCACTTCCAGGAGGCCACGGATATTTACAAGCGCATGCTGGTGGAAGATCGCGATGACCTGGCCTTGAACGTTTACATCGCCTTCTGCTACTACAAGCTGGAACCTTCCGCCAAATGCAAATGCCAGCAGCTCTTACGGCCGTTTATTTTTTTCCAAAAAAACAACTGACAGTACAGTGGTTTGTTGAGAACATGGGCCCCTTCCAAAGATTCCCGATTTCCCACAAAGACCGGCCCACGAAAAACCAATCCTGTGTCCGTTTACGGGAAACAGCCGTTGGCTGGGACCCCGTCCATCCCTGTAGAGATTGATGGCGGGGCTCTCCGAATGAAGTGCACGAAACTAGGGCGGGTGTAAGCAATAGGTCAGGGAACAAGCCCCAACTTGCCCAGCTACAAGCATGGTAAGCTATAGCAACCAGCACGAAGCTGGTTGAACTTCCTGCATGGTTTGCAGTTGCACACCACCACTGAGCAATCCGGGGCCATTCCGCCATCTACTTTCACCCAACATGCGGTTCTTTGTCAGTCCAAGGATTACTATGACGTGGCACTGGAAATCCTGCAGAGCTATTTGACCGCCAACCCGCATTCGACTGTTGCAGTGAACCTTAAGGCTTGCAGTCACTACCAGCTCTACAACGGCAAGGCTCGGGCAAGAGGATCAAACAGCGGCCGTTGGGTGTGTCTCATGGGCCCCTCGCTCCTTTGGTTTCTCTGTGGTCAGGCGAAACATGGTGCCACAAAAGTGACAGCCATATCAAGAATGTTGGATTCATGAACTGTTTGAATTGGCAAAGAAACCTTACGCGAGAAGCAGTTCACGGTTACCCGGTGACCCAGCTTTGCGTAACATTCCTGAGCTGAGAATCACTCATACATAAGTTCCAGGCAGAT